GAGGTGCGGGCGCTGCTCGGGCGGCGTCTTGGAGGTGTTGCTGGGGCGCGCGACGTGGCTGATGCTGCTTCGGCGGTCGACCCTCTCCATCTTCGGCTCGGTCGGCGCGTTCGCGAAGGCACGCAAACGGCAGGTCGCCCCTCCTCTGGATTTTGTTGGGCAGGGGCCGAGGCTGGTTAGGTACTTGCCCCCGCTGTTCGTGGCCCGCACGGGCGCCGAGTGGCTGCCCAGCGTGGCGGCCAGTGACGCCTCGCCCTGGGGGCGTGGCGCATGCGTTCGCCAGGCCGCCCCGGAGCTGGTCGCCCGGTGAGGCCGCGCTGCGGAGAAGCGGCGCTGCAAGCTGGGCGCTGCCGCAGCCGGGGGCCGCGCCTTCGCCTCTGACGTGGCCGAGCCGGTCTGTGCTGATGACGTTCCTGACGGCCTGCGTCAGGCTGGTGAGTTTAAGAAGGCTGGCGACATGATCGACGCGAGCTTCACTGACCATGAGGCCTGGTGCATCGTGGAGTCCTTAGCACGGCGCGGCCCAGCGAAACTTCTTGGTCTCGATGGGGCTCGCTCGCTCGAGCGCCCTGCGACGCGCTCTTCGGGGTCGGCCAGCTGTCGTTCATCGAGTTCTCGCTCTGGTAGACAGCGGTGGACAAGGGCCGCTCGGCGGCCTTTCAGCTTCGGGATATCCTGCGTGAAATTGCGGCCCTAACCCTTGGGCGCCGCCTCTATGTCGATGTTCGCTGGGTCCCGTCCGAAAGGAATCCAGCAGACAATCCGTCCCGAGGCCTGTCCTGCATCAAGCGGGGAGAGAAGTTGGATGGGGCCTTCAGGGGCGGCGTCGATGCTCGTGCTGCTGAACCTCTTCTGCCTCTTCCAGCCGTGCCGTGGTTTCTTGCCCTCGGCGCGGCCGGCCCCTTGCCAGACGCGAACCCCGATGGCGATTCAAGGCACCTGCCGGCGCCCTGCGTGCTGATGCCGGGCGCCGTCGGCCTCCTGCTAGCACGCGACCTGATCGAGCAGGCGGTGGCCGTGCTGGGCCATCTCACCTTCATGCACCCCTGCCTGCTGCGGCTCAAGCAGAGGTGCCGCGCTCCCGACCAGCGGGCCTGAGTCCCGCCCCTGGCGACGTCGCGATTGGCATCCAGGAGGCGGCGGCGGCGTTGTGCGTGGCCGCCAGGGACATCAGCGCGCACGGCCTCCGGCACGGCATTGCCCCGCACGACCTGCTGGCCAGACGGCGCAGCCAGGTGGAGGCGAAGGCGCGGTGCAGGTGGCGCAGCGACGCCGTGATGATGCGCTACGGGAAAGATGCCCACTCGCTGGCGGAGCTTCACAAGGCGCCGCAGGCCGAGCTCGACTTCGGCAGCGCGATGCATGCGAGCCTCTCGAGCATCGCGCTGGGCGGCGAGGCGCTGCCACCAGCGCCCTGTCTGGCGAGCAGGTGCTGGAGGGCTCTGAGTTGAGGCTTTCCCTTCGCCGCGTGTTGCGGTGCGCTCTGGGTTCAGCAAAGTAATGTCACGGCCCGGTTTTCTGAAAGTTTTCGCTGGGGAAGCGGGGGTTTCAAGGGCCATGGGGGCCAGGGTCTCGCTTCAATATCGGTGGACATTTTGAAAACGACCTGGTTCGACCTGAACCATCCGATCGTCCAGTCCACGATATTAGGGTGGATTTCAAGCAATGTCGTTTCAGCTGTATGGATGGCGACCCCGTGCTGCGCCTGATCCCGAGCCCGCCGCGGGCCCCCGGGTTCCAGCTGGTGCCGGCTGCGTTGTGCTGAGGGGCGGGGCCCCGAACCTGGGCCCGAAGGCCTCGGCGGCCTGCGCACGTGGCAACGACCAGTTACGTTTCTGTTTGCGTGTTGTCCGAGGCTGCCGTAGTGTGGGCACCCCCGTGGTCCTCGAGAACCCCGGGGCCAGTTGGCTGTGGAAGGCCCCCCCGCTCGAGCGTCTGGCGCGTCGCTCGACCAGCCAGGCCTGCGCCGTGGACTACTGCAGCTTCGGGGCTCGCTGGCGCAAAAGGACCAGGGTGCAGATCTGGTCCCCCGGTTTTTCCCTGCAGTTACCCGCCTTTTGTCACGGTCGAAGGGGTGTCTGCAGTAGCCCCACATCGTCTTGGCTGGAGTGGATCGGAGCTCAAGCAAACGTTGGACTCGCGTCGCTAAGCCTCGCCCCCCTCGGTTTTGTTCCTGTTTTGCCGGGGCTCTGAGGCGAAGTGCCGATGCAAAGCGCTTGTGCCGTCTGCGACAAATCTTATCAGTTTAACGAAGCGGCATCTGCCAGAAGCCCGTTCGGGGTGTCTAGGGGTCCTCTCTCTCTCTCTCTCTCCTCCTCGTTCGTGTGTGCTGTGTTGTGTTGTGTGTGTGTGTGCCTTTCTTCCTGTCCTCTCTCTCTCTCTCTCTCTTTTTTGTTCTCTCTCTCTCTCTCTTCTCGCTCCGCCGAGCTTAGCCTGGGGGCTTCCCTGTTCGTCGGACCTGCCTGGCCCGAGACACAAACGAGTCTCCTGGCCAGGGTAAATGGCACGATGGTTTGTTCTGGAAATGTAATCGTAGAGCGATGGAGGGCCGTTCGGTTGCAAGCCTTTTCTGTGCCCGCCCGCTCTACTCCTTTTCCTTTTCTGGTCATTTTTTTTTTTTTTTTTTTTTTTTGTTTTTTTTTAAAAAAAATCTTATCTCTCTCTCTCTCTTTCTCTCTCTCTGTCTCTCTCCCCTCGTTCGTGTGTGCTGTGTTGTGTTGTGTTGTGTTGTGTTGTGTTGTGTTGTGTTGTGTTGTGGTGTGTGTGTGTGTGTGTGCGTGTGTGCGTCTCTTCCTGTCCTTTCTCTCTGTCTTATCGCCCCGCCGAACTCAGTCCAGGAGCCCCCCTGTTCGGCGGGCCTGCCTGGCCCGAAACACACAAAAGAGTGTCCTGGCCAGGGTAAGTGGCACGATGCTGATGATGCTGATGATGATGATGATGTCGATGCCGATGAATATCAAGATGGTAATGATGATGCTGACGATGATGATGACTGTGCTGATGATGCTGCTGATGATGCTGACCACGACGATGAGGATGAGAGTGATGATGAGGATCATGATGTGGATGCTCACGCTCATGCTGCTGTCGCTGCTGGTGATGATGACGACGATGGTGATAGTGATGATGACGTTGATGTTGATGATGATGATACTGATGCTGCTGCTGATGACGATGATGAGGATGATGCTGCTGATGATGATGATGATGCTGATGCTGGGGAGGAGGAGGAGAAGGAGGAGGAAGATGAAGAGGAGCAGGAGGAGGAGGAGGAGGAGGATGAGTGGGAGTATGTTGAGGACGTGGACGACGACAAACGTATTACTGTTGGCGCTGCAGTTGATGATGATGATGATGATGAGGAGGAGGAGGAGGAGGAGTTGGATGATGATGCTCATGATGATCATGATGCTGCTGCAGCTTGCTGAAGCTCGTGATGATGATGTTAATGATGATGATGATGTTGATGATGATGTGGGTGCTGATGGCGCGGATGGTGATGATGATGGTGAGGCTGTTGCTGATGATGTTGATGATGGTGATGATGGTGATGACGATGATGCTCTTGCGGCCGATGAGGATAATGACACTGATACTCATAACGCCGATGATGATGATGATGAAGCTGGTGATGCTGTTGTCGCTGATGATGATGCTATATTGATGATGATGATGTTGATGCTGCTTATTATGCTGCTTCTGATGATGATGGCGATGATACTGCTGATACCGGTGATGATGGGGGTCCTTCTGTTGATTTTGTTTCTGATGATAATGATGCTGATGCCGACTATGATGATGATGCGGATGATGCTGATGATTGTGGTGATGGTGGTGTTGTTGATTGTGATGATGATTGTGTCGTTGATGATGATGAGGATCGACGACGGCGAGGAGGAGGAAGCTCAACATGATCGTCTGACATTAATCCGTTTTCGTGTCCTCGTTGAATATCTCCAGGAGGGAGCGCTTTATTTTCCTGTGTGTATGTTTCTCTTTTTCATTCTTCTGAGTCCTGAAGCCCGTCGGTTTAGCGCACCCCGGACAAGTGACGAGGAAGTCAAGATATGAGGGACAGAACAGATGGCGAAACATGGGGGATGGCGACGTTCTGAACAAGGATGAGGAAGAGAGGCAGGAGGGGGGGGGGCTTGAATACGTGTAGAGGCCTCCGCCGTTCCATTGATTTTGATATATATATATGTATATAGGTATGTTATGTATGTATGTATCTATGTATGTATGTATGTATGTATGTATGTATGCATGTTTGTATGTATGCATGCATGCATGGATGCATGCATGCATGTATGTATGTATGTATGTATGCATGTATGTATGTATGTATGTATGTATATATATATATATGTATGTATGTATGTATGTATGTATGTATGTATGTATGTATGTATGTATGTATGTATGTATATATATATATATATATACATATATATACACATATATGTTTACATGCATCGACGCGTACGTATCCGGGGAGCTACATACAGTTCACCAGCTAGATCACATATTCGTATGATGCGTGTGCGTGTACATATGCATATTGGAAAGATGCGCTATTGTGTATACGCAGAGTCTGGGTAGCTGCGGTTCCAGAGCCCCGGGCGTGCGCCCCACCCTCGCGTCGAGGGAAGACCTTCCGTAAACCGAAGCGCCCCTTCGAGAAGGAACGCCTCGACTCCGAGATGAAGATCGTGGGCGAGTACGGGCTGAAGAACAAGCGCGAGGCGGGGGCCTCGTCCTCCTCCTCGTCCTCCTCCTCGTCCTCCTCCTCTCCGCCTTCTCCTCCCCTCTCCTCTTCTTTCCTCTTTACAGTTTGGCACTGCGACTGCTACCCTTCTCTCCTCCCTCACTTCGTCGGAAAGATTTTCGCCCCCCCCCCCCATCCACTTTTTTTTTTTTTTTCCTCTCTTTTCCATTCTTCTTCTTCTTCTTTTAGATTTTGGTGTATGTGTATATGTATATGTCTATGTATATGTATATGTATAGGTATAAGTATAATATATGTATATGTATATGTATATATATATGTATATATATATATATATATATATATATATATATATATATAAATCTCATAAGTATACAAATTTCTTTGTTTTTCCACAAGAATTGTTTTTCTTTTCGTTTCGTTTTTGAATTGTTAAAAAATTGTGTCGTTTTGTTTTGTTTTTTGTTGTTTTTCCAATCCGAGTGTTCCTGTGCTTCACAAATGTGCTGCCGCTGCAGCGCGGGCCTCATTTTCGGATCGGCGCTTCGCCCCCGTCGTCCAGAATGACGCTCTCGCCCCAGCGTGGGCCACTGCTTTTGATCCGAGTCTTTCTTCATTGTTGTCGCCTCCCCATTGCTCTCCTCCGCCTTCCCTGGTCCTCCTGTTCTGTTCCGCATCCTCCTGCTCACCCACCCGACACCTCCTCCTCCTGTGCACGCAGCTCCTCTTTATTCGATTGCGAATGCCGAGATGTGGCCTTCTTGTTGGAGTTGCAGGTCGGCCATGTCACACGTATGCGGGTAGATAATCATCAGCGCAATGGGACGGGATGGGAGGGAGGGATAGGATGTCAGATGAGGCGCGATCGCACATAGCGTGCCTTCTCTCTCCTTCTTTTCCGCTGGCCGCTCCTCTCCTTTCTTCTCTCCTCTCCTCCTCCTTCTCATGCACACTTACTGGCTGTGAGTACTGCTCACCCTTTTTTCCTGACTCTGTGCGGAAGACGCCCCGTCCTCTCCGCGCATTGTCTTGCGCACAGGATCTCGTATTTCTATACCTCATTTGTGCAGTGCTGTCGTTTCCAGTTCTTCAAAATGGTGCTGCCGCTGCAGCGCGGGCCTCATTTTCGGATCGGCGATTTGCTCCCGTCGTTCAACATGGCACGCTCGCCCCAGCGCGGGCCACTTTTCTTGATCCGAGTCATTTTCACCGTTGTCGCCTCCCTCATTTCACCTCTGTCTTCCCAGGTCCGTCTGCTCCTCCCGCTCCTTCCGCTCCAGCTGCTGCTGCTGCTGCTTTTTGTCCTCGACTTCTTCCCCCTCCTTCCTCCTCCTCCTTCTTTTCCTTCTGCTCATCCTCCTGCACGTCCGCCGCCTCCTCCAACGTGCGTAGGTACTCGTTTTCGCCGATTGTGCAAGTCTGCTATGACACGCGCCGACGGACAGAATTCACGCAATGCGAAGGAACAGGTGGGAGGGGTAGGATGCCGGGTATGGCGTGGGCGTACCTAGCTTGCCCTTTTCCTCTTCTTCATTCTCTACGATACACGTTATACATACTACGCTCCTCTCCCCCCTGCGTCTGTCCAGGAGATATTCGGCCCTTTCCGCGTGCTTTTTTTCAAAACCCATGTTCCAAATCAAATGTTTACAATCCGATTGTTTCCCGTTCTTCGAAACGGTGCTGCCGCTGCAGCGCGGGCCTTATTTTCGGGATCAGCGATTTGCTCCCGTCGTTCATAATGACACACTCGCTCAAGCGCGGGCCCTTTCTCTTGATCAGAGTCCTTTTCCAATACCCTGAACTGGGACGACCTGGACAATGGGAGGAAGGGATGAGGAGGAGGAGGAGGAGGAGGAGGAGGAGGACGACTACTGTAGAAGTAGGAATAGTATTATGATGATGGTGATGATGATGCTGATGATGATGACGATCACGATGCTGATGATGACGATGATGATACTGATGATGCTGATGATGATTACGATGATGTCGACGATAATGACGATGCTGATGCTGATGCTGATGATACTGATTATGGTGATGGTGATGATGATGATGCTGATTGAGATGTATGATTTCTGATTATGATTATGATGATTTTAATGCCAATGCTACTGCTAATGCTGATGATGACGATGAGGATGATCATGCTGACTATGCTGATGATGCTGATGATGCTGATGATACTGATGCTGATGCTGATAATGCTGATGATGATGATGATGATGATGATGATGATGCTGATGATGATGACGGCGATGCTGGTGATGAGGATGCTGCTGATGATACTGATGATGCTGCTATTGATGGTGACGATACTGATGCCGATATGCTGATGAGGACACTGATGATTATGACGATGATGATGATGATGATGATGATGATGCTGATGATGATGATGATGATGAGATGTTGATGGTTATGGTGATGATGATGATGGTGGTGGTGACGCAACTGCTGATGATGATGCTTTTGATTATGATGATGATGATGATGATTATGATGATGCTGATGATGGTGATGATGATGCTGCTGCTGATGATACTGCTGATGCAGACGATGCTGCTGATTCCGACGACGATGACTATGCTGGCGATCACGATGATGATGTTGATGATGATGATGATGCTGATGATGATAATGATGAGGATGATGGTGCTGCTGATGATGATGCTTATGATAATGATGATGCTGATGATATGCTGCTGCTGATAATGATGAGGATGAGGATCAGGATGATCAAGACGACGATGATGAGCATGATGATGAGGATGATGAGGATGAGAATGAGGATGCAGATGATGCTGATGCTGACGACGACGATGATGATGATGCTGCTGCTGATGATGATGATTATGATGATGGCGATGATGCTGCTGCTGCTGCTGCTGATGATGATGAGGATGCTGATGATGCTGATGAGCATGATGAGCATGATGATGATGATGATGATGATGATGATGATGATGATGATGATGAGGTCGAGGATGATGATGATGAGGAGGATGATGATGATGATGATGATGATGATGATGATGATGATGATGATGATTATGTGATGATGATGCTGCTGATGATGATGCTGATGATGATGATGATGATGATGATGGCGATGATGGTAATGTTGATGATGATGCTAATGCTAATGCTAATAATGATGATGATGATGATGATGATGATGATGATGATGATGATGATGATGATGATGATGATGATGATGATGATGATGATGATGATGATGCTGTTGTTGTTGTTGTTGTTGTTGTTGTTGTTGTTGTTGTTGTTGTTGTTGTTGTTGTTGTTGTTGTTGTTGTTGATGATGATGCTGATGATACTGATGATGCTGATGATGCTGATGATGAGGAGGAGGAGGAGTAGGAGGAGGAGGAGGAGGAGGAGGAGGAGGAGGAGGATGCAGGAAGGAGGGTGCGTCGCCGCCAGGTGTGGCGCGTCCAGTACGCCCTAGCCAAGATCCGCACAGCGGCCCGGCACCTTCTCACGCTGGACTCCCAGGGGCAGCGATCCCTAAGGGCTTGACAGCTTTTCGCCAATCGACTTGGGGAGATCAAGCCAGACAGATCGAGATTAATCCAAGTAAACCGAGGTAAGTCCAGATGGGTCAAAGTAAGTCGAGACATCTACAGGGACAATCTAGAGGTATTGGTGGACGCCCTAGCGCGAGTCGAGGGACAGCAGAAGTCGTTAAGCCCTTGATTCAGCGAGGGTAGAGCCAGGAGTTTCGAGGTGCGAGGTTCGATTGTCGATGCTCGATGTTCGAGGTTCGAGTACTGGGATTCTAGGATCGAAGTTTGAGGATCCAGATTCGAGGGTCGATGGGGAAGGATTCAGGGTGGAGATCTGAACGTGGAGGTTCGGGGGTCGAGTCCGCAGCTCGAAGCTCGTAGGATGAGGGGAAGGAGGAGGAGAAGGAGGTGGAGGAGGACGAGGCGAAGGAGGAGGAGGAGGAGGAGGAGAGGGGCGACGCAAAGGGATCTTTCTCTATCCCTCTCTCTGTCAGTCTCTCTCCCTCGCCGCTCTCTGCCCGCAGGACGAGAAGAGCGAGCAGCGCATGTTCCAGGGCGAGGCCCTTCTGCGCCGCATGATCCGCATCGGCCTGCTCATGGAGAGCGAGAAGAAACTGGACCAAGCGGGACGGATCAGCACGAGTCCACGAGGGCGCGGAAGCAGGAGGGAGGATGCGGATGGCGCCGGCGACGACAACGGATGACAAACGACGGACGACGGACGACGGATGACAAACGACGGACGGCGAACGTGAACGGCGAACGGGCAACGACGACGAACGACGACGAAAGACGACGAGCGAGGTCGAAAGGTGGCGGGCGAATGACGCACCACGAACGACAGCGGTGGTGGCGGTGGTGGGGGTGATGAGGATGATGATGATGATGATGATGATGATGATGATGATGATGATGATGATGATGATGCTTGTGCTGCTTCTGATGATGGTGGTAATGACGATGGCCACGAAAACGAAGAAGACGATGATGATTACGATGATGAGGATCTTGCTGTTGATAATGAGGATGCTGATGCTGCTTATACTAATGATAATGCACGTGATAATGCTGACGATGACGATAGCGATGATGACGACGACGGTTATGATGATGATGATGTTGATGATGATGGTGATAATGATGATGATGATGATGATGATGATGGTGGTGGTGATGATGCTGATGATGCCGATGCTGATTTGAGTATGGTTATGATTATGATGATAACGGCGATGCCAATGATGATGACGAGGTCGGTGGCGGCGACGACGACTACGATGACGACGAGGACGATGATGCTGATGCTGATGATGACAATGATGATGTTGATGATATGCTGATGGTGATGAAGATGCTGCTGATGATGATTACGATGTCGATGATACTCACGCTGATGATGATCATGACGATGCTGATGCTGATGCTGATGATGCTGCTGCTGCTGATGATGATGATGATGATGATGATGACGATGACGATGATGATACTAATGATGCCGATGATGATGGTGATGTTGATGCTGATTTTGTCGATGATAACTATGCTGGGGATGATTCTGCGGCTGATGATGTTGATGACGATGCTTTTGCAGCTGATGATGGTGCTGCTGATGGTGATGCGACCGCTAATTATGCTGATCGTGCTGGTGCTGTCGATGATGTTGATGATGCTGATGATGCTAATGATGATGCTGATGATGCTCATGACGAGGAGGATGCGTGTGAGTGGGAGGACGATGCTGATGCTGATGAGGCTGCTGATGATGCTGATTCTGATGAGCCGGGAGAATACGATGGATGCTGATTCGGGGATCAGCTTGAGGAGTGGAGGATTGACTGACGAGGAGAGGAGGTGGAGAGGATGAAGTTTGACCTGCTGGACAATCAGGACCAGGATGAGGATGAGGAGGAAAGGTGAGGATCATGGATGTGGATGATGATGATGAGGAAGATGGTGAGGATGATGGTGACGATGATGATGCTGATGCTGATGCTGATGATGCTGCTGATGATTATGATGATGATGATGATGACGACGATGGTTATGATAAAAGCCATGATGATGATGATGGTGATGATGATGATGATGATAGTGATGCTGATGTCGATTATGCTGATGATGCGGATGATGCTGCTGATGATGATGGTGCCGATGATGATAATGATGATGCTGCTGATGATGATTATGGTGCTGATGCACGTGATGATCACGACGACGACGGCGCTGATGTTGATGATGATGATGATGATGTTGATGCGGATTATGATGCTGATGATGCTGACGAGGATAGCGATGATGATCACGATACTGATCGTGCTGATGCTACTGATGCTGCTGCTGATGCTGATGACGACGTTCATATTAAAGATGTTGATGATGCTGTTGCTGATGATGATGGTGATGCTGCTGATCATGATGATGATGTCGGTCATGGTTATGAGGACGATGCTACTGCTGATGATGTTGGCGACGATGACGACGTTTTTTGATGACGATGATGGCCATGACGACGATGATGCTGATGATCTTGTCCATGGTGATGACGATGATGATGATGATGGTGATGTTGATGTTGTTGTTGATGATGATGATGATGATGATGATGATGATGATGATGATGATGATGATGATGATGATCATGATGCTGTGGATAGAGCTGACGACGGTTCTGGCTACGATCATGACGTGTATGATAGTGGTCCTGATGCGGTTGACCATGACGATGCTGATGACGCTGATGATGCTGATGCTGATGATGATGCAGCTGCTGCTGCTGACGATGATGCGGATGATGATGTTTGGTATGTAGGCTGCTTATATGATGCTAGTGGAACGACGGCGGCAACGACAACGACCACGACGGTGAATACGGTGACGATGCTGATGATGATCATCATGATGATGCTGGAGATGCTAAAGACGATATTGATGAAGATTCTGATGATGAGGGTGCTGCTCATGATGCCGATGATGCTGGTGCTGATGATGCTGAGGATGATGATGATGATGATGATGATGATGATGATGATGATGATGATGATGATTATGCCGTGGTTATTTATGCTGATGTTGATGCTGCTGATGAAGCTATGGCAGTCATGATGAGGATCCCGACCCTGTGTATGAGGAAGCTGCTGCTGATGATGAGGATGTTAACGACGACAGCGGTGGCAGCGGCGGCGGTGATGATAATGCTGCTGCTGATGATGATCATTATGATGATAATGCTGATGGTGATGTTGACGAGGATGCTGATGGTGATGATGATGATCGTGATGGTGATTATGCCGATGATGACGATGGTGATGCTGATGCTGATGATGCTGATAAGGATGGATATGCTGCTGGGAATGCTGTTGATGATGCTGTTGCTGATTTTGATGCTGCTGATGATGATGGTGATGGTTCTGATGCTGATGCTGATGCTGATGTTGATTCTGCTGCCGATGATGCTGATGCTGATACTGTTGACGATGATGATGGTGATGGTGATGATGATGATGCTGATGATGACGATGATGATGTTGATGATGATGATTATGCTGATGGTGCTGAGATGATGCTGACTATCACGATGCTGCTGCTGATGATCATGATAAGGCTGCTGATGAGGATGCTAATGTTGATGCTGCTGCTTCTGCTGCTGCTGCTGCTGCTGCTGCTGAAGAGGAGGAGGAGGAGGAGGAGGATGATGATGATGATGATGAGGATGATGATGATGATGAGCATGAGGATGAGGATGATGATGATGACGACGACCCCCCTCCTGCGGACAGCGCGGGTTGCACAGTCGCTGCCCCTCCTGCTGGGCGGACTCGTCGAGTCTCAGGGGTCGCCCTGGGACCCGACGCGCCTACCCAGCGTACACACGGAACTGGCCGAGGGCTCCTGACTTGCCAGAGACCCCGCGCGGCGCGGCCAGGGCCCCCCCAGGGCCCAGGCCGCCTCGCGGGCCCCAGGACCTGTTGCCCGGGTCGCCCTCACCCTGAACAGCATCAGCATCAATGCCACCTGATCTCTGCGTCACGCTCCAAGCAGCTGCAGCCGCAACCTCAACTCGGACCGCTACCCCCTCTACTAAGTGGATCTTGACCTCACCTTTGGAGCCCTGTTCTACGTGCACCTCGCCTTCTACCTTCCCTGAGGCACCTGAAATCACCCGACCTACCACTTCCTCGCCCTTCTCCTTGCGCCGCCAACCCCTCGCCGTTCGCCCGCTGACCTCCACCTCACTCCGCCCCCTGCGCCAACTCGGGGATGGGGGGACGGGACGGACACGGTGTTGGGGATAGGGTCGGGAGTGTGGGCTCGGTGGGCTCTGGCCGCTTCTATGTGCGCGCCCCCTCTGCAATCAGTGTCGGCCCCGGGGTCACCAGCGGGTGGTGGTCGTCACCACCGCGCCCACGTGCCACCGCTGCGCACTCAGGGAGCCCTCACGCCGCCCCCCCCTCGGGGGGTGGGGGCCCGCTCGGGCCGCAACTCCACCCACCCAGGAGGAGGAGGAGGAGGAGGAGGAGGAGGAGGAGGAGGGAGGAGCGAGGATGAGGATGAGGATGAGGAGGAGGAGGAGGAGGAGGGAGGAGGGAGGAGGAGGAGGAGGAAGGAGGAGGAGGAAGAGGAGGAGGAGGAGGAGGATGAAGACACCGAGGTTGAGGAGCAGGAGGAGGAGGAGGAGAAGGAGGAGAACGAGGAGAACGAGGCGGAGAAGGAGGCGGAGGAGGAGGAGGAGGAGGAGGAGGAGGAGGAGGAGGAGGTGGACAATGATGAACGTTGGTGGTGGTGGTGGGGGGGCGAGGATGAATCGGGGTAGCGGTGCGCAGGAGTAGGATCTTGCTCATGGGGGGTGGGCAGGAGAAATGCGCGCTGTACAGCAGGGAAACCAGTCGCAGCCTGGTGCGCAGGGTCAGCGGGCTCCTCAAGTAATGTGCGAGGGGACTCGTGCGAGCGGGAGTGGGTGTAGGTTGGAGCCAGCAGGGGGTCTATTGTGGCCCAGCACTGGTTCTGGCGAGCAGGAATGGGGGGGAACGAGTGTCGTAGTTCTGAGTTCGATCATTTTTTTTCGTTTTTGGTTTCATGGACCAGTTATGGCCCCCAGGACGTTTTTGATCCAGGGTGAAGAACTACATCATATGGATCCCAGGAAGGGTGTGGGGGGACCGATTTTGAGCGGATTTGCCCGCATCCCCCTTATCGACAAATTTCTCGATGTCTAGACCCCTGGCCGCTCCCAAGGTGCAGGGTACCAGGTGGCAGGATGACAAGGAGGAGGAGGAGGAGGAGGAGGAGGAGGAGGAGGAGAACGAGGTGGAGGAGGAGGAGGAGGAGGAGGAACGGGCCCGGGGGATTGAACGAGAACAGAAGCGGGAGCGGGAGGAGGACCATGATACATGGCGAGGGGAGGAGCAGCGGGCCCAGGAACTGGAGCGGGAGGGCGTGCATGAGTACGACTGGAGCCTAGACAGGGATGGATTAGCTTTCCAGCACTCGGCCCTTGGAAGTGCCCACAGTTTGCCGTGAACAACAAACAACGGAGGTCCCGACTCTTTCCTCAGGGCCGGTTGTTTCGGCCAGTGTCGCTCTCTGACGGTTCTGGGGACCGGCGAGCGCCCGTGGAGGCCGGAAACGGCGGAACACCCTGCGTCGTGAGTTTTTCACGACGCGGGCATGTCTGGGATGGGCGTTGTGGCCACTGCCAGTGCGACACTGACCTCCCGCTCCCGTGGCAGAGCCACGGGTTGCTGCCCGCCCCAGCCTCCCACTCGGAGGACGGAGGGAAATCTCCGAGTGGCATGTTTCAGCTCGCTGAGGGGCTGGGGGGGGAGGGGGCACTGATCACCACCCACCAAACCACCCCAACCCAACCCGAAGGCCTCATTTTGCCCTCCATTTCCAGTGTGGGGGGGTCCGGGAACATCGAAAAAACACATATGGAGCCCATACCCCCCCCAACCCGAAATTCGGGTCTTCGGGTTGGGTTGGGGTGGTCTGGTAGGTAGTCAACTGAACCCCGCAGTGCAGGATTACGTGCTCGGTCTCACCAGCGCGAAGATCATGGAGTGCTGGCCTCAGGGGGAGCTCGGGATCTGATGGGCCTGTTTTCCACCACCGCCACCATGAGTTGGAGCGGGAAAGGAGGGGGAGGACGAGGAGGAGGAGGATGAAGAGGAGGAGGAGGACGACGAAGAGGAGGAGGAGGAGGAGGAGGAGGAGGAGGAGGACCCTCTGCCCCTCCAACTTATGGTGGTGGTGGTGGAAAACAGGCCCATCAGGATCGTCGCGGCAGGCTCGCGCTCGGCTCGCGCTCGGCGTCGCGGCGGTGCGCTTTCCTGCTGCGCTCGACGTGCACACCTCGCTGCGGTCGCAGGAGAGCCCCGCTGCGTTGCCAGGGGCGCACGTTCCGTGAGATCCAGGCGCTGCAATTTTTGGAACAGACGTTTTCGACCTGTTTGGGGCCCCAGGAGCGTCACATATCGATCTGGCTCGAAGGATGCCGCAGCAAGACATGGTCTGGGGCGTTGGTCGTGGTTTTCGCGATGTTGTATTTTTTCCGATCTCAGGGTTTGCTTCATCCGGACATGCCAGGGTTTCGCGTGCTGGCTCTCCTCTTGTAGGTTGGCGCTCGTGTGACTCTGGGTCTGCTTGGCGCGTGTCGTGTGCGCGCTTGGAGCGGAGTCCTTCTCGGTGTCCAGCAGCCACATCCCACCGCACAGCCAGGGAGCCCGAGCGAACAGGAGGACGCAAATAAGACAGATGATGATGATGCTGCTGCTGATGATGATGATGATGATATTGATGCTGATAATGATGATAATGAGGATGAGGATGATGATGATGGTGGTGGTAATGGTGATGCTGATGGTGATGGTGATGATGATGCTGATGATTATGATTATGATACTGCTAGTAATGCTGTTGTCGATAACGATTATGATGCTGATCATGATGACCATGATGATGCTGCTGATGCTGACGATGGTACCATGTACAATAATATTCATAACGGTGATAATGCCAACGCTGCTGATGATGATGATCACGGTTCTGATGATGCTGCTGTTGATGATGTTAATGCTGACGATTACGATGCCGATGACAATGATGATGGTGGTGATGATGCTGATGCGGATGCTGATCCTGATGCTGATGATGATGCTGCTGTTGCTGCTGCTGCTGATGATGCTGATAGTGATGGTGATGATGATGATGATGATGATGATGATGATGCTGATGATGATGATGCTGACGATGCTGATGATGATGCTGATGCTGATGCTGATGGTTATGGTGCTAATGGCGACGACGAAGATGATGATGTTGTTCTTGATGGTGATGGTGACGAAGACGATGCTGATGATCATGATGATACTGATAATGCTGCTGATGATGATGGTGATGATGTTGATGATGATGATGGATGGATGGTGGTGGTGGTGGTGGTGGTGATGATGCTGCTGCAGCTGATGATATGCTGTTGGTGCTGCTGCTGCTGCTGCTGCTGATGATGATGATGATGATGATGATGATGATGATGATGACGATGGCGATGGCGATGGTGATGGTGATGGTGATGACAATGACGAGGATGATCATGATGCTGGCGACGACTATGATGATGATAATTATGATGATGTTGATGCTGATGCTGATTATGACGATGACGAGTATTAGTATGATTATCATCGTTGTTATTGTTATTGTTATTGCTATTGTAATGCTTGTTGTTATTGTTGCTATTTTTTTCATTATCCATATTACCAGTATCATCACGATTATTGCTATGATGATGGTGTTGTTGATGATGGTGGTGATGATGATGATGATGGTGATGACGATGACGATGACGACGATGACGACGATGACGATGATGTGGACGATAAGTAGGCGGCGATGGAGACGGCGTTGTATCATAATGAGGAATCGGGCGGTTGTCGTGAGGAGGCAAGGAGGATGATGACGAGGAGAAGGTGGAGGAGGAGGGGGAGGAGGACTTAGGTCGAAGATGAGCAGGTAGGGGATAACATGCTCGTAGCTGAAGTTTTGCAGGCCTCGAGAGAGCATCGTTGTGGCATCCTTGAGGCGTTCTTCAGCCTCCTGTGCAGCGATGGGCCTTGAGCAAGGACCCAGGACCACGTTCTTTTGACGAAGGTACTCAATCCCACCGGCATGGCCAAATCTCATTCAATCGTCATACTCCCAGGTACTCAAAACGGTTTACCTCGTGCGTTTGTCTCTTATGAAGGGGGTCTTCGCTCACGCTCGCTCAGCGAGTCTAGGTCTTCTTTAGAGGAGAGACTACCAACAACGGGGGAGTTTCTCATGTATGCGGCGGCTGTTTGAGAAAGCGATCGGGTTTGAAATGCATCTCAGGATGCAGATGCAGGACCTCGACCCACTACGAACATGGCGCCGCATGCCAGCTAGGGACCTGAGATGCCTCTTGGAGTCTCCTGGAGGGCCTTTTGGGACCTCTTGGAGGCCCCATTGGAGCTTCTCGGGGGCCATTTGTTGGCCTCGTGGGCTCATCCCAGGGGCCTTCTGGGACGGTTCTTGGGGGCCTGGAGGCGGCCTCGGGGGCCTGTTGGGGTGGAGGGCCCCAGCGGCACCCTGGAGTTCTCCCCGTCGGGCCCCTCCTTGGGCCCCCATGGGGCCTCCTGGGCCCCTCCTCTAGGCTTTTTGGGTCTGGGGCGATCGTGGGGTTCGGGGACGCTCTTGGGCCCTCCTGGGCGCTCGTGAGGCCGACCGTGCGAGTATGTGTGTGAAGGTTATGCGGGAGCCTTTCTTAGGGGAGCGAAACATGTTATAAACATAGTAATTCGGAGGTCCGCGCGGATTTCTCGGATCGGCGCTGGGGCTCCCTGGCGGCGCCTGAGGCGCCGCTCCCGGCGCGCTCTGCGCGCAAGCGAGGGGGGTCCAGCGCGGATCCAAGAAATCTGCGCGGAAGTCAGAGTTTTTATGTCACTGCCATTTTTTGTTCCCGATTTCTGGATTCCGAGGCACACTCCAGGGGTCTCGGAGACGTCACGTCGGAAGCCCCAGGAGCGCTCCCCAGCGCCCGGACCTCGGCGCGTTTCGGGGCCCCTCGGAGGGTGCTTGCGGTTCTCAGTCCAGAGGACTCGGAGGGGCCCGATAGCACTCCATGCGGACGTCGCTCGATGAGGACGCCGCCTGTCCCACATCGGTGCGCGGCGCTTCGGCCGCGGCCTTCGTGGGTCTTGTGACGCACCACTCCAACTCCCTGTGAAGGACAAGGGGAAAGGCCGCCCGGAGGCCTACCTCTTTCCATGCAGCAGCTCTTGATCGACTTCATGCCTCGCGGCATGGTCTTTAATGCTGGCCCAGGGGCTCCTATTGGCTGGAGTGCGCAACATCGTAGCTTCGGTAAGTGTCCGTGCATCCAGTCGTAGCCAGGCTGACGTTGAGTTACCTGGATTTCCCTCCACCCGCCGCCCGATCCCCCGTGGCAGAAGTCTCCCCCTAGGGAGACTCCGAGGCCCCAGTCCAGTCGTCTTTAGCATTGTCGTAGATATCACTTTGAGTTTTCACTCTTTAAAGGCTGTCACCGATGCACATGGGTTCACCGTATCGATAACGCCGATCCTATCCAGATGGTTTCTCGATCCGATGGGCCTTCGAGGACGAATCCCTCTTTGATTACTGGGAACGGCCCCGCCCGCCGCCTGCTCGGAGTTCCGCAGCTGCAGGTTCTATTGACGATAGCTGCTGGGCAGCTTCCATTTCGAAGGAACGCCGACGACTCTAGTCAAACTGTGGCAAACTCTAGTCCAGACAGTCCGCGTGGCTGGGGGCGCATGGTGTCCGATGGTTGGGGACTTCGAGCTGATTGCTTATCGTAATTGTTGACAAGCCCCAGCACCCACAGACATCGAAGCCTTCCGCATTTCAAACAGGGTAGCATTCGAGATCGCTTCGCGGCTATCCGCCGTTATGTTGTTGTGCCGAGTCTGCTCTATTGAGAGTGTGCGTTGCGTTTGACCCAGAAACGCCTCCAGCAGTTGCATGCCTGTCAGCAGGCCATGGAACACCTCACATCACGCTCGGAACATTGAAGCATTGGCGCTGGGAGCAACCGCTCAATGAACTGCTATGGCCTCACTGGACGCTGCTCGCCAACTAGCAGCAAGAGCGGGCAGGCCGCTGCAGCGAATGGCCAACGACCCGCTCGAGAGCACGTCATCTCCAGCTCCACCGCTGCCACCAGAAGCCCTTCACACGACAGACATACAGATAGACAGACAGACACACCAACAGACAGCCAGGCAGACAGAACGACACCGTGCACGTCCAAGGTGCGTTGGCAGAAGGATGGAACGGACTTGGCCAGGTGAAAACCGTGAGTAGGTTGACCATCGAGCCTGTGGCGCTGCCCATGGCAATTAAACAGGATATTGCCCTCTCCAAGGTATTCCAGCATCTTCGTCTGAAAAGTATATTGGCACTCAGGCGCCGATACCCGAGAACAGAAGCGCACTTTGCCATGACACCTGAGCCCCCGAGGCTGCATGCATCGCGCCCCACTCGGGAGAACTGGGGGCTGTCGAAGACGAAGTCGCCGTCGTCGTCGTCGTCGTCGTTGTCGTCGTCGTCGTCGCCGTCGTCGTCGTCGTCGTTGTCGTCGTCGTCGTCGCCGTCGCCGTCGCCGTCCCCGTCGCCGTCGCCGTCGCCGTCATCGCCGTCGCCGTGGCCGTGGCCGTGGCCGTGGCCGTGGCCGTGGCCGTGGCCGTGGCCGTGGCCGTGGCCGTGGCCGTGGCCGTGGCCGTGGCCGTGGCCGTGGCCGTGGCCGTGGCCGTGGCCGTCGCCGTCGCCGTCGCCGTCGCCGTAGCCGTAGCCGTCGTCGTAGCCGTCGCCGTCGCTGCCGTCACCGTCGCCGTCGCCGTCGCTGTCGCCGTCGCCGTCGCCGTCGCCGTCGCCGTCGTCGTCGTCGTCGTCGTCGTCGTCGTCGTCGTCACCGTCGTTGTCGTCGTTGCCGTCGTCGTCGTCGTCGTCGTCGTCGTCGTCGTCGCCGCCGTCGTCGTCGTGTCGACGTCGTCGTCCGCGGCGCTGGCGGGCGCGCCCCTCCGGCTGGGGCTCTGAGGCGCCGCCTGCAGACGAAGGCCGGCGGCGCGCCGCTGCGTGGGCGGAGGGGGCAGAGTGGGCCAGGCTGATGGACGGGGGGGGCCACGTGGTGGATGACCGAGGAGGAGAAGGAGGAGGAGGAGGAGGAGGAGAAGGAGGAGGAGGAGGAGGAGCACGAGGAGGAGGAGGAGGTGGAGGAGGAGGAGGAGGAGGAGGAGGAGGAGACGGACGAGGAAGATTTTGATGATGATGATGATGATGATGATGAGGAGGAGGAGGAGAAAACGGAGGAGGAGGAGGAGGAGAGGGAAGAGGAGGAAAAGGAATAATGATAATAATGTTAAGCATCGTTTCACTTTAATAATAATATGAATAATAATGCGAATACTTATCCTATTATTATTGCTAGTATTTGTACCAGTACTCGTAATACTAATACTATGGCTAATCACATTATATTATGATTGTGCTTGTTGTTGTGGTTGCGTGCTATCAGTATCAGTATTCTTATATTCATTTATTTGTATTGTTACACACTAACGCTACTACTACATATAATACTGGCAGTCACACTCATACGAATACTTACAATACCAGTAAGACCAGCCAGCGTTGACTCCAAATAGAAAGGAGGACAGGAGGGAACGAGAAGAGGATGGGAGGAGGACGAAAGGAGGACGGGAGCAGAACGGGAGGAGAACGGGAGGATCAAAGTCAATCAAGCGCAAGCAAGCAAGCAAGCGGAAGCAAGCACGCGCAAGCGAGCAATAACAATCAAGCAAAAGCCAGCGACCAAGTGCAAGCAAGCAAGGACAAGCAAGAGCAAGCAAGCGAGAGCAAGCACGCAAGAGCAAGCAAGCAAGTGCCATTTGGAAAAGGAGGGGGGGGTGCCATTGGAAAGGGGAGGGGGGCTGCCACTGGAAAAGGGGGGCGTGTGTGCTAAAGACCAAATACTTAAGATGAGCTAGGACTCCTGCAGGGCAAGCTTATTTGGAACAACAGATTACAAATAATCTTGTTAACACCTAATACTAATACGATGACCATGCATAGCAATACCACGAATCCGAGTGATAACACTGACAATACTAGTAATACTTGAAGAAGGAGGAGGGGTAGGAGGAGGATGAGGAGGATGAGGAGGAGGAGGTGAGGGGAAGAGGGGAAGGAGGAGTGGGGCGGACGCAACAGCCGTCCAGCCAATGTCGGTCTGACGCAAAAGGGGGAGTGGAAGGAGTATAGTGACGTTGATGAGAATGATGGTGATTGTGATGATTATGATGATGATGCTGATGATGATGCTGATGATGATGATGATGATGATGACGCTGGTGATGATGATGTCGATGGTGATGGTGATGATGGTGGTGATAATGATGATGGTTATGATGATGCTGCTGATGATGATGATGATGCTGATGATGCTGATGCTGATGATGATGATGATGATGATGATGATGATGATGATGCTGCTGATGATGATGATGATGATGCTGCTGCTGCTGATGATGATGATGATGATGATGATGATGATGATGATGATGATGATGATGATGATGATGATGATGATGATGATGATGATGATGATGATGATGATGATGATGATGATGATGATGATGATGATGATGATGATGATGATGATGATGATGATGATGATGATGATGATGATGATGATGATGATGATGATGATGATGATGATGATGATGATGATGATGATGATGATGATGATGATGATGATGATGATGATGATGATGATGATGATGATGATGATGATGATGATGATGATGATGATGATGATGATGATGATGATGATGATGATGATGATGATGATGATGATGATGATGATGATGATGATGATGATGATGATGATGATGATGATGATGATGATGATGATGATGATGATGATGATGATGATGATGATGATGATGATGATGATGATGAGGATGAGATGAGATGAGGATGAGGATGAGGATGATGATGATGATGATGATGATGATGATGATGATGATGATGATGATGATGATGATGATGATGATGATGATGATGATGGTGGTGGTGGTGGTGGTGGTGGTGATGATGATGATGATGATGATGATGATGATGATGATGATGATGATGATGATGATGGTGATGGTGGTGGTGGTGGTGGTGGTAGTCATGTTGTGGTGATCGGTGATTAACAGCCGGTGACCTTTTACAGAGTAGCCTAGACGTTCGCTAGAACAGCAGGTTTTCTTACCTCTCGCAGCCTCTCCTCTGCTCGTCCCTCCTCTCTCCGTGCTCTCTGCTCCAGGCCTCTAGCGAGGCCAGTGCTTCTTTTTGGGGTGGGCGGGTGGGGCCATAGCTCGCCGGCCCAGCCTGCGGCTCGGCCAGGCAGTCCGAGGAGTGCTGGGCAGTAGCTGGGCCAGGACCCTCCTCCAGTGCGGGCGGCGAACGGAGGTGTCGCGCGGCCCGCGACGGTCGCCTCGGCAAGGCGCCCGCGGCCCGAGGGAAGAAGAGGCCAAGAGGAGGTGTCGGCGATGCGGCATGTCTCCCTCGAGTGCATCATCTCCGCTGCGTTGGTGGCCACGCTCGAAGACGCTTCCCTGGGCGCGGGGCTGTCGGCCGCCTTTTCGGCTTCCGCCAGCTACGCGCCAGGGCCGAGCGAGGGCCGCGCGCGGGAGGGGCCGGGCGCCGCGAGCGACGTTGGCGCGGAGGAGGCGCACGAGAGTCGCACCGACTTCGAGGCGCATTTTTGCTACGGTGCAAGCTGCGCAAAAAGTGCTGCGGAAGGCCCGCCAGCCAACCCCGTGCTGCCCGCAGGGGCGGAGCAGCAAGAGGAGGCGGTGGCGCCGCGGCTCGAGACGCCCCCGATCACGAGCCCGCCGCCAGCCATGGCCGGCTCGGGTTTGCACACTACCAGCTACGGGGAGTACTACTACCTCGCGTACCATTACGAAGACGGGGTGGCGCCGAGCCTGCCCCCGGCAGAGCTGCGCGCGGCGCCAGCGGCGCCCGGGTCGTTGCCAGAGGAGACGACGCCTGGGGAGTCGGAGCGACCTCAGGCGGGCGAGCAGCGGCCGCCATTCCACTGCGGCGCCCGGCTGTGGCTGTGCCTCGATCGCCTGGCAACGCCGCCCGCGCGCAGCCTGCGTCGGCGCCGCCGCCGCCGCCAGAGTAGCCGCTGGCCGGATGAGGGCGCGTCCGCCGAGGAGGCGCATCCACCCTCGGGCCGCCCCCCTGACGCCGCCCTAGGTGCGGGTAGCGCCGAGCGCTCCAGTGGCTGGGCGAGAAGGTCGGCCACGTGCTGGGGGCTATGCTCCACCGGGCGATCGCTTTCCTCCTGGGCATGGTGAGCGCTATGGGCGAGTGCATCTGTGGCCGCTACTGGGCACGGCTCCAACGGCTCGCCCTGAGTATGGCGGCAGCGGGAGTGATCGCCATCCTCGGCTCCATGATCAGCTTCATCTCTTGGGTCTTGCGCGCGGCTTGGACGGTCTGCGCGTTCGTCTTCGCGACTGCGCGCGGCTTCGTCAAGGTGGGCAAGACGGGCCATGGCGTGCAGGTCGCCCTGGGCGGCAAGCCTGGTGCTGCTCCTACCTGGCGCGGTCCGGATGAGGCCGAAGCCGTCGACGCCGACGGGGGAGCGAGGGCCAGCTCGGATAACGTGATGCCCAAGGGCCTCGTCATCGCGTCGGGCGGGCGGTTGCGCGGCTGGAGCAGGGGCGATCGAGGGCAGCTGGATTACCGGATGCGTGCAGGGTTGTCGGGGCTCGGCGAGGAAGGAGTCCGTGCTGGCGCTGGTTGAGGACGCTGCCATCTCCAACGTGCGTGAATCCCCGGAGGTGAACGGCACTCGCTCGTTCTGGGCCTGCCCATTCCACGCCCAGTCCTACGAGGCCCAGGCAGCTCAGAGGAAGTGTGCTCGTTCCAATTGCTTCCGTGAGAAAACCGTCGAGATGGTTGGCTTCCCCCCCAGTGCTGCGCATGCTGCAGATCGGGTAAGTGGGCTGGCGTGGCCGGTCAACCGCGCCGCCGCGCCGCAGCCGGAGGAGCGCACGAGCGGCAGGAGAGGGGGCGGGGCGCGGGACCTGAGCGGCCACCGTCGGCTACGCGCAGGAGCAGTCCAGCAGCCAAGGTCACAGCGGACGCGGCGTGGCCGGTGTATGTGCGGGGCCCCTTGGTTAATTCGGCCGCGGGTTGGCGAGCTTACTGCAGATTTCCGGCCAAGTTCGTGGTCCCCATCCCGAGGTGCGGATGGCGGCGGCCCAGGGACAGACGTGGAAGCGGTCGGGCTGAGTGCCGTCTTCTCCATTCCAGACGGCGCCGAACCAGCGCCAAGGTCGGAGCTGCTCGACGAGGTCATCAGCGCGCAGCCCCCGGCCATCTGCTGGAGGGCGGGGATGGGCTCGTGCCTGTCTGACTACGGCGACGGCGCGAACTACGAGGGTGACGGTCTCAGCTGCGCTTCGTGGCCGCGATCATGCGCGACTGGGGCCGGCGCCACCTGGCGGGGCGAGCGAGGTCCAGGGGCAGGGGCGCCACGCCGATCAGGAAGAGCGTGAAGGACGACCTCGACGCGAAGCTGAGGCGAGCTAGGGAGAGGGGCGAGGCGCAGCGCCGCGCGGGCCCGAGGGCCGCGCTCATCGATGGGGTACTTGCTCAGGATCGAGGGCCGAGGGCCAGTCGGATGAGAGCGCGAGGCGTGCTATGGCGGCCGACGCAGGTGCGGGCTCCCTCGAGTTCTGGGCAGAGCTCATCGAGGCCGCGGACGCACCTCTCGAGGGAGTGGTCAGCGATATCGGGCCGAGCCTTCTCCAAGGATGCCAGGCCGCTTGGTGAAAGGGGCTCGAGCGAGGAGGATCACCGCCTTAAGCAGGCGCCCAGGAGCATCGTGAGGCGGCGCCGGCCGGCCCCCCTGCCGCCAGCAGCTGCGCCCCCGCCATCAGCGGCGCCTCCGCCCCCGACGTCGCCCCCAGGGCTGGGCTTCGTCGGGTTCGGCCAGAGGCCCTCCGCTGGGCCGTCGCCGCCTCGCCTAGACCCCCTCTCGTTCCGGGGG